TGACAGAGCCTTAGACGACAGCTCATTAAGCCACGTGGGTTTTCACCTTACAAATCTTCCCTGTGACTTAATTACTAAAAAGCACCATTGCAATGTTTAACGCCACAGATACTGTCTCAGGCTGCAGGGCTTTTCCCTGTTGGCTGGGTTACTTTTCCTTACCAGTTTTTCCAATCCGATGTGCCTACGTGGAATCGCAAAACAGCTGGACCAGCACAAGTGAGGAGGAAAAAAAAGAGGTGGAGGAGAACAGCAGCATTTTAATTCAGCATTGCCAAAGCCTTCCCCGTTGTGAAATGACAGCCTTGCCAAGTGCTGGCAGCGCAGCCTGGATACTTCACGTATTTGATGTTGCGCAAGTGTCTCTTAAGGATCTGTGGAAAAAAACCCTTTTTCTCAGCAAGGCACAGCTGTTTTTTTTTTTTTTCTTTCCTTCCCAAACCTAGGGAAATGTAGAAACTAGAGCCCTGTACTTACCCCACTGTACTCCAAATTGCTGTTTTCTCCCTGAAACAACTGATTAAATAAGAAATGGAGAGAATCCTCGTCGCTCTAACAGCAATGTCATCAAGTCTTCAGGGAAAAGAGGTTCAGGTCAAGTGTAGGTCTCAGTCTAGTGCACCAAGCACTGTGCTTACTCAAAGCCGTTCCTACACCACATCTAATCCACTGGTTAACACGGGCTTCAAGACTCCACAACTATGTGGGATATGGCTGCGGTAGCTTAGCTGCCCCAAGCACTACGAAAAAGGGCAGCTGATGAGAGGAAGCACAGTACAGGAAAGACAAGCAGTTCTCTGCTCAAAAAAACCCCCTAACTCTGAAACAACCCTTATTCCTGCCAGAAAGTTTTTGACAAGGAAGTTTTTATGTCATACCGTCAAGGAATTACAAGCCAAAAGGAAATGGCTAAAACAGAAAATACCCTGTAGGAATATTCCACTTACCTTGCTGGAGCATCACAACAAGTTTTTTTCATGTCAGGAAAGAGAGACCAGGAAGCAAGCTTCCCGTACCTCTTGTGCTTTTCAATTATCCACTTGCCAAAAGGCTGAGAACCTTTTTTCCTCCACGCAGTGATGACAGGCTACACCCTTCAACCCTGAAACCATTACCCTGGATGGTACCACTACCGACTGGGATGTGCCCATCCCTAAACCTTTGATCTGCGTCTTCCCCTGGACGCTTGACTATCCACCTCCACGCAGGAGGCTCTCCTCCTCCCACACATACTCCTCGTGTGAAGATTTGCGTCCTAGACACAGATGCCAAACTCAGACTGTCGGAATAATTAAGAAAAAAAAAAAAGGCACCCCAAGTGTATGAATCGCCACCTGACAAAGTAGGTGCTAGAACCTCCTGGAGCTGAAGGTGGCTGGGGACATAGCCTCTGGCAAGCTCTAAGGCTAGGGGCTGTTAATTATGCCTCCTTTTAAATCAGCATAAATGATCCAGTCCACTAGCTTTTGCTTTACACTTCGGCTTTACACAATCAGCTTTTAGCTACTCAGATTAAGTACTCAAAATTACGCCGTGCAGCAATCAGCCCCCCCAACAAATACGCAGTGTGTTCTGTATTTTTCATCCTACAGTTCAAAGGGAACGTTGCTGTTGGCACTGCCGTACAGCTATGAACCACACGGATCCTCTATATGCAATAACAGTTCCTGCAGACTCTTACAACCTAACCGTACAAGCTGTAACAAACCTGGTTTTTAATAACTACACCCAGGGTCTTTAAGACTGACGTAACGTGCATTTTATCACAGTAAGTCAAACAGTCCATTTAACGGACACTTTGTTCTTACGGCAGCCCTCATTTGCAGGGCTACAGCCCTCCCGCACGCTGCACGGCAACGTTAAATCCTTCAGCATGTACAGCGGCGTGCCTTACCTGCACAGCCGTGACCCACGATGCTTAAGACCGGCTAAAAGGTAAATGGCAGTACAAAGAAGGAAGAGCTTCAACTCGTTTCGTGTAAACAAGCACAGAAGTACATTCTCCCTAAAAAGCAGCAGGAGCAAACACTGAATTTATGCCACCGTCCTGGTGAATCCCCATAGGAATTCAACAGCAACTGTGTTGTCTTTTTTCCCCCCTGATTATTTTATTTCAAGCAAAAGTTTTGCTCACTAGATTAACAACCAAAAATTGTCCAACCCCCCCAATATTTGTATGAGAAACAGGTTTTCTTCTCTTCTGTGGTTAGCCGGGTTGTCTGCCAGTACTTTAAGATACTGAGGCAGCAGATTTTGAGCTTTAAGAGTAAAGCCTCCATTAGCGTGACCCGCAGCATCAGATAAAGTAATCTAAAGCCATCAGCAACACTCTTGCAACAGAACATCAAAGGATCATCATCCCCGGCTCCGAAAGACAAATGCCACCGGCTTGTCTTGACATTTACACAGCAGGAGAAACTGTGAGCAACCCAAGGCAGTCCAGCATCCTTGAGTTACATTTAATGCACGAGAGTAGTCCCTCCTCATTGTTTTCTTTCGCTGCTTGGGGGGGGAAAAAAACTGGCGGCATGAAGAGAACCCTACAATGGCACTAAACAAAAACACTTGGGTTTTCAAAAAAGAAATGCCAATGGCCTCAATCTGCTGAGTTCTAGCTTCCTCAGGACCTCTTGGTGCCACAGCATGTACAGGACACTGGGATTTGGATGCTGCGCAGCCAGCAACCAGCCAGAGGAACCCAGTATTTAACGAGGTGAGCTCGCGGACATCCCGTCCGCAGGGGTTAACTGGTTTCCCCACCAGGCTGCCGCTTCTCACGCGGCTTGTAGGAACGTAATCGCCTTCCTATTCCCTACCCTGCAAAGCCTCATCAAAGTCGGTGAGCAGGTTAGAAAGGGGCGAGATGGGACAGATGCGATGCCAGATGACTTAAGAAAGGGAGGCTTGGAAAGCCAGGCTAGAGTTCAAGCGAGCCACAGACCAGGCAGCAAGCAGAATCTGCCTCTGTCTCCTCCACTCCCTCCCATCAGGTGTTTCTGTGTGTTGAATCAAAACATCACGTTTTACACACAGACAATATGGGCTAAAGAAATCCATCACGGCTGCCCTGAACAGCCTGTTTGCACAGTACAAGCTCTTTAAAGGCATCGTGTTTTCGTGAGTGGCATCTCAATTGTAGTTTGAATCCAATACATGGCTTTCTATCCTTTTAAATATTCTAGAGCCTTTATGTATTTGGTTTTAAACTGTTGGGGTAATGATGCCCTCTTACCCATGCTCAAATAAAAACATAAGAAGGAAAGTGAAATAAAAAGAAATTTCAACACTTAATCAGAGTTTTCTCCCCTCCCCTCCAAAAAAAAAAAGAAATTTCAACACTTAATCAGAGTTATTTTCTCCCCTCCCCTCCAAAAAGCAAGATTAAACCAAATCAGGCTGCCTGGCTGTAGCTAAAAATATTTTAAAATAGACCCACTGTGTTTCAGCTGGGACATTTGCAAACATTTTCACAAATAGGGACTGAATATCAATCTTTTCACATCAAAACCTTCAGCACCCTTCACTGTGTTATCATAAGGGACTGCACAAGCTGCAGGGCAGCACACACCCCCAGTCTCCATTTGCTGAAATGCCAAAAGCCACAAAAATTCTTCACCTACCAGAGACCACGAACGATGCTGCAGGGAAACAGACAAGCCCAGTGGTTCAGAGCCTGCTGACCCACCAGCCAGGAGAGACCCAGGGGGGTCTGCGGTTCACAGCCTCTGCTTCCCCAAGAGCTGTTTTTCCTTTCTTTGCTCCTTCCCCTGGCAAGTACGCCGAGGTACCCCAGCTCCCTTAAAAAACAACAGGTAACCGTGACCCCAGCTCTGCTGATGGACTTCTTGCGAGGTTTTGCTTCAGTCCGCACCGCTCTCTCTTTGAAGACAACTGCCTGCCTTCCTTTAGAGAGTTCAATACGAGCATAAAAATCTTAGCCAATTGAATTGTTTAGCCATCACGTGCAGAGCTGGTGTCGAAGGACCAAAACCAAGGGAGCAGAGCTCTGCAAGCCATGCACAGACTCGGGGTCTCAACCTTCTCCTTCTCGGCCCTGCAGCACGAACCCCTCTTGGACCATCGCAGCCCGTGTTCAGCTGGGTAGGAAAACATGCAGGAGCTGAAAAGAACCAAAGTTTCAGGCGGGAGCTTACATCCAAGTCACACACACGTCCCTCCAATGGAAAGTGAAGGCACTACTAATAAAGAAGATTCAGCGCTGTAATTAAAGAACTTTTTAGAGTCTTCAAGGTTTTAATTTGAACAGACAATTTCTACTATGTTCTCAACATATCTACAGCAAAGTTTACAGCCGCTTTGTATCCGTTTTTCTCCCCCCAAATGGCTAAGCAATTTGAGCCATGATAGTTTCTTTCAGATTTGTTACTTTTTTTTTTTTTGCAATATATTCAACACCACAGCGGCTGGGATTCTGTACACATACAGCATACATCTAACAATAGCACACAACTCCCAGCCCTGTTACTTATTTCATTTTAAAACAAAATCAAGACTGATGCAGCAGCCGAGTCCGATCCGCAATTCCAGATGTTTGAAGTGCACTCATCACTTAAATCTGTACTAGTGAACAGATACATAGCACACATCACACAGTGCTATTCAATGTCACACAGTTACAAAAGAAAAGGGAGCGCTGGTATAGACGTTTTCCCCTCATACAGGAACCTCTACACGATAGCACTTTCCAAGGCTTTAGCAAAGCATACATTAGACGCCAATATGCTGTACAGTGCAATTTAAGTTATACCATATGCAACATGGACAATAGTGCACTTAAACCGGTCGCCACATTCAAGAGTTAGATCAATACAATCAAAATATTGAAGGTACATATTCCCTTATGAAAACTGTGCAAGTTAGTTCCTTTTCCTGCAAGTTAGTTCCTTTTCCCTTTTTTTTTTTTTTTTTTTTTTTTTTTTTTTTTTTTTTTTTTTTTTTTTTTTTTTTTTTTTTTTTTTTTTTTTTTTTTTTTTTTTTTTTTTTTTTTTTATATTTTGGTAAATGGCAGAGCGTCCGCATTGATTGACCCCAGGGTTTGGGGAAGGGGGCCCTCGGTGTCCAGCTTATTACACAAATAGCTATGTGCAGAAGAGCAGAAGCGAGGGTGTCAGCAAGAGCGTAAGGCAGTGTCAGACTGAAGAGCCGGAGCTGGGCGCTGCCACAGCGCTTACAGCTCAGGAAGAGGCAGGTAACCTGCAAACAGGGTGTCAGTGACTTCATGAGGCAGAGTCCAGCAGACATCCCCCTCTAAGAGGAAGCAAGCCGATCATCAATATTAAATATGTGATTAAATACAGTGGACATGCAGGTAAGCAAAGAACTGGAGCGCTCCGCTGTGTATTACACCAGTAGCCAGCAGACTGGAGCCTGGGAAGCGCTGGGAATGAAAAGGTTAAAAGGGAATGTGCAAGTAGCCCCACACAGAGAGGTGTGTGAACGACACCAAGAGGTCTGTGAACGGTCTTCTCCCAGGAGGGCCTGCAAGGGTCCACACATCTTGTCTCAACTCCACCGCTGTGCAACACCTTGCAGGACCGCTCCAGGTCACGTCTCATGAAGGTGATTATCTGCAGGTTAACTTAAGCCTCCAGCTCCTGCTGTTTGCGCTGACTACAGGGTGATGCACGGCAGAGGAATCGGGGAAGAAACCGCTGTGGCTGCTCAGAACGACACTAGCATTTTCCCATGAAGGCTGTGATCCGCTCTACCGCTAAGCCGAGGCGAGCACACAGCGCTTGGGTGTGGATTCAGTCCCGATACACAAGTCGAAGATGAAATGCCAGCTCAGAGAGAATTTTCTGCCTTTTGTTAGCTGTCACAGCTGGTTACCCAATTTCCTCAGACGCCCGCAGCTTGCATGAGAGACTAGAGCAGCCAGGCAATTAGATCAAAAAAAACCCTCTTTGCTTCTCTATTATTTAGCTCAATATATAATTACTATGTTAGGAAATTGCATAACCTTTAAGTGTGTTTTATGTATAGTCTATTATGGGGAAAGCAGTGCCTTCTGAATCCTTCCCATCTGGCTAGTGAGACCGTATTTCAGATGTACGGGAGCAGTCCAAATTCTGAGTTGGATAGGGATACGCCATCCAGGCAGGTGCAGATCCCATAGACATAATTTTAAAGGGTGAGCAATAATTTTAAGGGCTTACGTTTGCGGTATACCCAGAAGGTAGCTCCAGAAGCCAGCGTTTGGAGGCGGGAGGAAGGCACGGCCAACTTGGGCCTCCCCTGTGAGGCAGTACAGATCGCCAGCCGCCCCGAGAGGCACTCCCTACGTCAGACTTGATTTTAGTGAACAAGGCTGTCGCTCTCCAAACCTAAGAAGAAATTGGGGTAAGGGTGAATTATTCTTCTGCCTTAAGTGAACAACGGTTTAAAAGGGATCTTTATTTTTTTTTAAGCCAGATGACTTTAGGACTAAGTTTAGGTTAGTCAAGAACACCACAATTAAGGAAGTAAGGAGTGAAGCAAAAGGCATTAAGGTAGCACTTAATCACTATCACAAAATTTTATCTAGCTTCCTTGGTTATAGAAATTTTCTCAGAACATATTTAGTGGTTACATGATTTTTGCAGAAGATTAGTCTCCAGATACTTCTATGACAACTAAAGGTCCTGCATTTTCACATGTATCTATCTTCATGTGAAGTGGCTTTTAAATAAAGGCAGCTTCATTCCAAAAGAGCATGAAGTGTCACAGAAGCTCAACAGTTTCCAGAGGTCAACACTGACCTAACGCAGCTCCATTCATTTCAGTAGAAACAGGCTAACAGCAAGCACTTTTTAAGATAGTCCCAGCCACATGCGCCGTTGTTAATTCAAGTCTGCTCAGTCACGTACAGCTACCAATGGAATCAAGCTGAACAAGTGTCTAGGTGAGTTGATATTTCAGACCCACTCTTATCTGTCCTTTTTAAAGGAGAAAAAAAATCTCTAGCAAAAGCTCTGGTTTTATAAAAGCAGACTGCAGTCACAGAAACACAAAGATCAGCTACAAAATACAAAGTTACTTGGAAAAAAGCTTATCCCTAAAGTCTTTAAGCAGTTTTAGCAGCTACAAATGACCTAACCTATTAGCATTTTTGTCGTGTGACGGCCTCTTAATCTGCAGCAGCTACCTGACATGTTAAGATCGCCTTAACTCCCAACTTCTGCTTTTGACGTTTCACAAAATGTGTAAGTAAGAGCACGAGAGGAAAAAGCGCACCAGGTGGAGCAGAAGTGTTTCGTTGAGCTGTAGATAAAGCGCTGCTCTTGCGCCCTAGCAATGCTGTGAACCTGTTCAAGTGTACAAAACCAGCCAGTGCAGTCTGAAGTTTCAAGAGGGCAGCGTGAAGGACAGCTCTGAGCCACCGTTTTTGCAAGCGCACACCTCCGCCAACTACTTAACCTTTTTGTTTTCCAGGTAAAATAAAACAGTTTGTTATTCCTTAGGAGGTATTTGTCCATGAGGGACAATTCCACCTGAAGGTCATGGCTTAAACATTAGCAGCAGAATCCTTACTTCAGTTCTGTATTGCACTGAAATTTCTTGCTCTGGTTTGGTATTCAACTTACTGCTCCCAAGCCAATGCTTAACACAAAAAAACCAAGTGTTAGATGTGAAGGCTACTGAGAGTATCATATAGACTGGCAGAACCTGTAGTTAGATTATACCATTTTCTAGTTTTTCTAGGAAACTAAAGAACTAAGCTGCCTTCCTTACTCTTGGAGAGAAAAGGTGCTTTCAGACAAAATGCCTTTACCTATCTATACATAACTTTGTATTTTAATCCTGCCGAGTGTTTAGAGAGTTCAACAAAACCAGAAAAAGTCCAAAATAAATTGGAAACATCCTGTCTCTTGGCCCATCCTGGTCATCCATACAGTTGGGTAGAGGTAAGAGTTCCCGCTTCTGCTGCCACTGACACAATTTCGAGACAGAAAAGCTGCCAAGAGAGGACACTACGCCCAGTTGTGTATGTCTTCTGTAAACAAAACAAAAATCCCTCCCAAGAAGCAGGGAGGTATATAGTGTGAAGTGAAGGTTTCAGCAGTGGGAGGACTGAGGGTCAGCTGTACCCAGAGGGCTCTGCAATACATGCACGTTCCATGTTTAGTCTTTAACGTAAAGGGGACCGGGAAGGAAAGACCTGAGGCAAAGCCCTGCCAGCTCACAGGTTCTCCTGCATCCTATCATCTGTTTCCATCTCTGCTAGCTGCCTCCTCAATGCATTAACCTTTGCCTGAAGTTCCTTGTTGTATTTTATAATGTTGATCATCTCTTCATGGGCTTCGTCTAAGAACTTGGAAGGCCTGTTCCACCGAAGAAAGACACCTGAAAGTCCAGAGACAGCACGAGTCAGTAGGGTTTCTTGTTACAGAGAAGAAACGTTATTCATATCCCATCAGCTCTCAAGTAATGGGCATACAGTCTATGCATTTTTTTTCCCTTATCCTCCCCCCTAAATAGCGTTTAGAAATACTGACCCTCCTCTCCAAGTTCACCATTCTATTAAACAAGGTTAATAAAGGAAGAAATGAGGCGTTTTCATTCCTTTTCTCATATACTGATCAGACCGATCCATATTCGGTCTCCACCCTGCCATGACAGCCTGCTTGCTTCACCGTAATTAACTCTTCAGCGTACACGGGACGGAGAAGGTTTCTGCAGCAGGGAGCCTACTGCACGCAGATTATCCTGGCCAGCATGGCCACTAATGGAGAAAGGGACGTCTTGGTTGATGCAGAACAAAAGCCTGAGGCCTGCAGAACATCTATAGATTAGGCTGTATCGCTGCAGAAATACTGCGCCAGGAGGTTAAACGGTACTAGTAAGGCTCCCTGGCAAAGAGTAGCATGTCACCAAACCTTAGAAGGAGAAAGCATTATGCCTCTGGGGATGGCACATGCCAAAAATAACAGATTTCAAAGGGAAGGAGATCACCATCAGCTGAGACAGACGAAGCACGGAGCAGAGACAACAAGAGCGAACCCTTAAGAAGCTTCACGAGTAGCCACAAAATATATATAGCCTGTAACAGAAAAAGCAATCCTGGCTTACCTTCCCAGAGCTGCAGGCTCTGCGGGGCAACGGAGGGCCAGATGACAAGGCTGTTGGCCTCAAAAAGAGGATTCTGGAATTTGCTCAGCTCTTCAGACCGGTTCACCCAGGACCACAGGGACATAGTCTTTTGCGGCAGCTTCAGTTTAGACCTAACAAACCCATAGGAACAAGTCAGCTTTCACTTTTATACTGTAAAGACTCATTTTGTTTTGTCAGAACCCTGCAGACTGGAATGCCACAAGCTTCCCCATGTGCTACTAGCCCAGACAATTCAGGCTAATCCCTTCAATACCTCTCACCAACATGGCGCAGGGTGTACACCTAAAGCAAGTTACTCAACCTGGATGATTAGTTAGTTTTGAAGAAAAATGGGGAAATAACATTTATAAGTTGGGTGGAAGCTAGCTGCCTTCTGTCCAGATGAAGAATCGGTCACCTCCCCAAAATTGGTTCGACCGCCAGGTTTTGAAAGGGATTGAACTCCCGTGTTAAGACAGAGCTGGGAGGTGTGGTAGGTCTGCATCAAGGAAGGATCGTAGTGCAATTCTCGGAGCGCATTAAAGCGGTGTTATTGCTGGGCTCGTGCAATGGGCACGTCTGATCAGGTCCCTCTGGTGGCAGGAAGCATCAGGGCACAGAGAAAGCAGTGCTGTTTTCCTGGGTCAAACCCACCTCCAGGAGTTACACAGGGGTCTCTGTCCCTTAGATTCTGGCAAACCAATTTGCTGTGCAAGCAGAATGAGAACTGCCACTCAGGCAGGAGATTTGCCATCCCTGTGAATGCTTCAGACAGCACAAGCTTAACAACAGGCTGCAAACATTTTCTGTGCTCACAGGCTGACGTGTTCAGATGTGACAGGCAGGTTATTACATGTAACATTCAATACTCTTTCAAATTTCATCTTACTGGTTTCAAGTCTAACTTGGTTTTGCAGGTGACCAGTTCAGCAGCCCTGCAGAAGACAGAAGAGTCTCTTCTAAGCAAAGATTATTTTAAGGGCAGAGAGGTTTATAGCAAGCTTTAAATTGCCTTCTTTCTGTAGTATCGGTTCTGTTTTTCCCTTCTGCTCATTCAGTGCTCTTCAGTTAAGCAGGAGAGCATCAGACATGGTCTTACTGGAGTCAGGAGTCCCGAGAACAGAACTGCCAAGTTCAACACAGGAATCCAAACCTCTCTGGCAGCTGCCATCTGCCGTGGGAGGCTCTAGTCCTCTCCTCCAGGGCTCCACCCTGTTTACTCTTCCCACAGCCCTACTCAGGGCATGCCTGGAGCTGCCCCACTGGTACAGCACAGCATCTAACCCAGGCTAGGATTCAGAAGCTAGGCGCTGGTCTGCTCAAGTACCTTAAATGCCACAAGCCTGTAAGCAAGCTCAGCACAGGCCTATCATTCCCTGACAAGGTAGACTCCAGCAGAATGCAGTCCTGGCTGCTTCCTTTCAAAGTTGCACGAGCGTCCATCTGAGAGCTCGTAACATTCGCTCAAAGCCTCATCCAGCGCAGATTGCCAGTTCACATTTCTCCAAGTCACAGGTTACAGCTGGAGGGATTTTTTTGGTCTTTCTGTTGAAGTTGTACTAGTGCATGGCCAAAAAGACCTCAAACCGAATCATGACGCTCGTAGCCAAGCAAGCAAAAGCTTTTGCCCGTGCTGTAACTGTGAGGCAGATCCTTCTGAAAGAACCTCTTCCATGTTTTCCACTTTCAGCAGTTAGTGGATGATGCAAAGCCCAAAGCCTTCCTTTCCTGGGGGCGTCGGGACCACCAGGCTACAGAGTCATGTTCCTCCCTGACAGCTAAGGTAAGAACCAGACTTTCCAGCTTTGACCTCGGACTGCCTTGACCTTCTCCTCCAGGCCTGCATGGACAAGTTTGCTTCCCACAGCTATGACTCACGTCATTGTTGAACTCCAGCTGTTTGTTCTTTCATGGAAAGAGTTTCTGTGTAAGAGACTATATAAACTGGCGATGGGTGGAGATTTTAAGGCCACGCAGGAAACAGAAAAGACAGTCTAAGGTATTAGCTTGGACTTGGAGAAGACGAATTCAACTCCCTGACCAAGCCACAAATTGCTTTAGTCACAATATCCCACTTGTAAGAGGGACAAGCTCCCTAACATTGCAGCAGACTACATAAAGGCAACAAAGAGGAGCTCACCTGTGCTAGGGGAGACCACACAAGCACCCTCACCCTCTTTCAAACCAAGAGACTTTTTTTTTTTGTTGTTCAGACGCAGCCTGATATTTAAAGGGTTCAAAGCAAGCAGCCTTCACCAACCTTTCGTTTTCGTTGTTTCCCAGGAAAGTCCCAAACTGTGAAGCGTAAGCATGTTCAAAGAGCATGATGAGGAACTGTTCGTTGAATTCAAAAGAGCAAGGGAACTGACGAAGGATTTGCCACACACAGTCCAAAAAGAGGAGAAACACTGGGGCCTCCCATTTCTGCTTGCTATTTGAATAGGCTGATTGGGCACAGCGCTGCTGAAAAGGGTGACCAGCCTATACACAAGAACCAGAGAGAGCATCACACACAGAGTAATGGGATGTGAGTACATGTAGCAAAAAGACTTCAGAGCTAGTTCTGTCCATGCAACTATGCTCTTACTACTCTTTTCTACAACCGTAATTTCATCAAGCATCCAGTAACAAATTGCTAGCAGCCATGACCAACTTTGCTGCCTTTTCCAGGCTACGTAAATAGCACTGTATTTGATCAGAGAATTTTACCAAGAACAAACTGGTGTAGGTGCACCAAAGGGCCAGGCTGAGGATATTAGCTGCAAGAGTACAAAGACTAGAACTCTTTTGTGGTTTAGTCTGACCACTGTTCTCTGAAGAGATGTTCACTCTGAGCGCTCAAAACAGGCAGTTCCCCAAAATCACAACCAACCATGAGAGGCAGAGGCCCCATGGAGTGCCAGAGGTAGAAATGACTCGGTTAATGATGTTGCTTTTAGGACAAAGGCCATTCACACTAAGCAGGGCTGCGACAAGGCCCAACCCGTTCACTGCCTCTCAGGCTATTTCTCAATACAACTGTCACTGGAGTACATTCCCATTTTGTCTGTAGGCATTTCTTACCTGCAGCCACTCCCTCACAACAAGAGATTCAAAGCCACGTATGGTCCTGCACCTTGGATCCAAGATAATCTGTGCCAGAGAAGTTACCTGGAGTGTCGAATCAGTTCCTTCGGTCCCATGGACTAACACTGATGCACCTTCCCTGTGAAGGAAAAAGGTAGAAAGGAATAAAAGTGTGAACGAGCAGAACACATCCCAAGGACGTACGCATCCCAACAGATGTCAACGCATCCCAAGGACACCAGTGTTGCTACCCTGACAATGCTGAGGTTTTGCTGGCTCTTTATCCCTTCTTCCCTCCCATAAGCTTACTCCCCGCCCCGCACAGAAGCGTACCACTTTCTCCGCCTGGATCCCCACCAACACTAACTAGTCCCTTCTTCCCTCCCATAAGCTTACTCCCTGCCCCGCACAGAAGCCTACCACTTTCTCCGCCTGGATCCCCACCAGCTCTGCATCACTTCAGGCTTAGTTTCTTGCGAAGCATTCTGGAAATCCAGAACCTTTGCCATGTTGACCGAAGGTGATCAGTGAAATCTCTTTTGTGGTTCTCACTATTTTGAATTGGTACCCCTTTGAGTTATAGCATGGAAACGCATCTCAAAATTTGCTTGTCATTTATTGTTTTGCTAAGTTCTCTGAAATCTTCCCACAAGCACTGCAATGAAGTCATATCATCCCCCCAGATGCTCTGCAAAACAATACTATGAGATTCTTGCTCAAACCTGGGCTTAATTGTATTTGGGCCTCAGTGGGGGTTTACTGCAAGAAAAGTAAGCCAATAAGCCAGCTCAGGAGAAAGAAAGAAATGGCAGAGCTTGGCCTCCACAAAGGCAGAAGAGTTAGTGTGCTGAGCAAGGAAGCTTGCCAAAGAGCCGAGCACAAAGTCTTCTCAGTGACCAGCCAGCACAAGTGAATCAGCAGAACGACGTGAGGAGCAGAGGGAGCTCGGAGTCGGGGCAGGAAGGTTTTGCACATTGCTAGGGGCCCACGTGCTTGTCGCTCCCCACATTCCAGTGGTAACTGTCCAGGACAGCTCATTCCCTCCCCTCTTCCTCCATCCTAGGCTGCATTTGGATACAATATCAGAATCTCATCCAGGTGCTCCTGAGGGAAGGTCTGGGTGGTATTAAATGGCATTTATTCCCCTTACTCTTCCCAAACCTTGACCCAATGTCTCGCTTCTGCCAACATCCTTACACCCAGAAAGGAAGTTAACTGCAGGTTGTATTGCTTTCTGTGCAGAGACCCAACCTACACAGCAAAGCGTAAGGAAGATCGATCTACCAAGCCAGTGACCCTGCACGCATTACTTGCTTTTTGAAGTGAAAAGCATAAAAATCTATACCTTGAACATTGCAACATCTTTGACTACAGTCCTATGTCTGAAACAATCCCAGCCCCTCTACAGTACAGATAACCTCCAAATACTCTCTCCCTCCCCCCCAGGCAGTGGCAGATAAAGAAGCTGCTTAACAGCCAAGCACAATTGCAAAGGCTAGCTGCCAGCCTGTGCGCTCGCACACCAGGATAAGGCTATTTTCCCCCTTCATCTTTCAGGCCCCAGACCTTTCAGATGCTGCAAGGTCTGTCCCAGCCGTTCCCTCCCCGCGGCCAATATAACTGAACCATCCTTGTCAGCTCAGCTATGATCTCCAGGCTCCGAGTGAGGCAGGCCAGGCGCCAATGCTGAGCTGGCCTGCCACAGCTCCAGGTAAACAGAAAAAGCAAAGCCGAGGTTAGAAGTGATGAAATTGTCCACTGTCCCAACAAGCCAGAAGAGTTTCGTCACCAATCTTTCTCGTTATACACATGCAGGAAAGAATTACAGATAAAACTATCGATCAAGAGCAATCCTTTTCTGGCACAGTCAATAACTAAACAGGCACTGTCAGTGCTTTTAAAAAGCACAGCAGCTCGTATTTTAATGCATTAATGCTGTTTTACCAATGAAACTGCATTTCAGCCTACTTGTGTATCTGCATAACACATTCCCTAGCTGGTATAAAAAGCTAGGTTTTCCCTGAGTTTTGAGAAGGGCTTTCCCCTCTCAGAGCCACAAAGAAATCACATTTAGACCTCTGCATTTGGTCTTACAAACCCTGGCACCTGACAGCTAGCTTTTGCTAGCTCCAGCCTGAGGTCTGAAGACATTTTGAGGACAAGTAAGCCAAGTCAGCACTATTTATTAAAGAAATGTCAGGTTAAAAGAGGTCACAAGCACTTGTAAGGCATGAACAGCATTGCTTAGATGGGACTATGGGGATAAAAATTTCAAGAGGAAAAAAGCACTGGACCAATTCCTGGGGAAAGCAAGGAAATACCATTGTTTTAATCTCTAGAAGCGAGGTGGGGTATTGGAAAAAACTTTCAGCTAAAAAAAAAAAAGGACTTTTTTTAAAAAGACTCCATGTTCTCACTTTACTGGGCTACCAAACAGCATTTCAGATGGGCACATTCTAACCCTAAACCTTCAAAAAAAACTAACTAAATTAGATTGGTTGCATCAGGCATCAGAATATACCTTAACCAGACGATCTAATACCTATAGTTAGTCAAGATTTCCTCCCTCAGGCTGGTACTTCTAAAAATGCAAGCATGATTTACTGGAGGAACATTCCTTAACCGTGACAAAACAGTATCTTGCATGGGTACAAGCAAGCCAGTTCACGGTGGCCTGTTACTAATACTTAAAGTGGAAATAGAGGTATTTAACAAGCAATCTGTAACCAGTAAATAAGAGACTCCAGGCTTTCAGGAAAAGATTTACCTATCAATACACTGAGCAGCTAGACAAGCCGCAGTTAGTATCTCCTTGATATGAGTCAGCCAGTTGGAAGCTTCCAGTTTACTGAGCCAGCGGTCCATATTGTGCGACTGGTCATTACAAGCTTCCACAAGTTTGATGAGGCTTTCCTGCAGAATATTAAACCTTTGGGAAAAGCAAAATATTATTGAAAACATAAGCAGTAACACAGCAACCAGGACAACAGGCTTACAGAAATACACGGATCTCAAAATAAGAGCACTACAATTTATATGCAGTTATTTCGAAAAGTACGACCCTGTAGAAGTCATGTCTCCTTATATGCAGTTATTTCGAAAAGTACGACCCCGTAGAAGTCATGTCTCCTCATTCAGCAAACCTGTGTTCCCTGGGAATCCCAAGCCATGGCTAACTGCCAGCAGAATACCACTCTTTGGACATAAGTAGTCTCCTCCTTCTCAAAACAAATTGCTTCGTAAGGCCTTACAACAGTACAGCCTTCTCCTTATCTTACCCGAACTCTGTGTGTGTTCTGCTGTATCTTACATTTTCCATGGAAAATGTGTTTCAGTAGCTTCACTCCCATTACCAGATACAAATGCGATTGCAACCTGGCACGGACATTAGCAAGTGTCAGCCAAGCTTCAAGTGCCGCACCTTCCTTCTCTGTACTACACCAGACGTTTTGGGGGAGTTTTAACCTGTAGAGCTGCAACAGCAACCCGAAAGCCATCCATCACAAGGACACAACGCCACTGTAACACAGAAAGTTTTAAACTAGACTCAACTTCTTGACGTAGAACCACACTAAGATTAGTTTGGCTAATTTCTTAAGAATGTAAGAAAACGGAGGGGGGGAAATGGAATACATTCTGTATCACTTCTGCAGTTGTTGCAGTACGTCCTCAAGCCCTGGAAAGCTGGTGTTCAGCACGCAGCTGGTAAAACCAGATGCTTCTCTGGTCTTGTTTCACGCTATGCCTTCCAGGGGCACCAAACTACTGACGGATCAAACGCCACTTAACGCCGATTCCAGCGTGTGCTCAGGTGTAACAGAGGATGCAGCTAGCAGACCAGAACTCAGAAAAGCTGACAAAGCCAAATAATAATAGCATGAGATATTTAGTCTTTATATGTTGTGGCTTATTCGTTCCCCTCTATCTGATGCTTATGTCCACCTGTAAAATAATCAACATCAAATTTGAAGCCCACAAAATTTTTAGAAGCAAAACCAAATAGTTCAAAGCAATGGCCAGGAAATTCCTTATATTAGCTCCTCAAGAGCTGGCCTATACAGCGATGAGGGGAGCGACTGCTTTCCAATAGTAACGTTACTGCATGCCCACGTAGAAGGGTTCCCCAAAACTAAGGCTAAAGAGCAGTTGAACAACATTGGACCAAAAGTCTGTTTAATTTAGTAACTTGTCTCCAAATGACCAAACAATATTAGATGTCCAGAGAAAAGTACTGGATAAGAGGAGTGCGACTGTCACGGTTCAAATCCCCACCTGCAGAAGTTTTCTGGCAAGGGGCTTGCTCATTCCTGTGCACTACTGCAAAGGGGAACACAGGAAGGCTGGAGTGCAGCTACAGACGGTCCGAGAAAGAGATGGCACAGGGAGATTGCCTGATGTCTGAAACCTGCAGCAGGTTGTTCAGAACAAGGAACCGAACACAGCTTTCCAAAGCCAAGTAACTTCCTCTTGACAGGAACCAGGGTACACGGCCATTTCTTACAGAAGCAAATACTTTATGAAGGTATTATTGGTTCTGCCAATGCAACCCCACAAAGCCGAGCACAGAGGAGAGCCTGCGTGGTTTCACCCACCTCTCAATACATTTGTGAATCCTCCTCCACTGGGGATAGTGCGCTTCTTGTTCAAAGCCCCCTCCTTTGGCCCTGGCCTGCTGGGCAACATTCAAGGACCTCGTATCAATGATGTAGCCACGCTTGCCAGGCCGTAGCGTGGCGTTAATAAGCTTCTCGTCTTCTTTACACCGTCGCCCATTCGTACCCGTAAGAGGCTGGCTACTTCGCATCATGACCTGCGAGGACAAATAACCGTGAATTAGGCACTGGAAATGGAGAGACTTAAGATTGAAAGCCACCGATCACTTGAGCTCCAAGACAAGAATTGGAAGTTTAAACTCGCTATGCAAAGGACACCCCTCCACTAGAGGATTTCTTAGGGGTCTGTAAACACAGACTGCAGACTGATGCATTAGGTCACTGGGTCTCAACACCAGGCACTGAGAACGGCTCTCTAGAGAAGTGTGCCGCTGAAATTCACACAAGGTACTCATATTTTCCATGAAAACTCAGGTCATTTTAAGAATGCTTACAGGAGTGACAGAACTCAACCGTAAAAAGCTTCCTCTATCAGTTCAGGGGTGAAATTCAAGTGAGGCCCTCCTGGATCTCCAGCTCTTCTCTGTGGAGTTGCACCAGCAAGCGCAGCTCTCACCCCACTGCACCTCCCTACTTCCATCTGCTTCACATTCGATCCACCACGTCTGGACACAGACAAACGTCCCGATCTGCACAGCCTGATGCACATAAGTGTCTCTTTAGTTCTTCCTACAGCTGCTGTTCTCCCTCACCCTGAACCCTTCGCAGTTCTTTTAAGTGCAACCCCTTGAAGGGACTGAATTCATTTCAAAAACAAACTAGAAATCCTTGAATTGAGCAATCGTTTGGCAGGCTACTTTTTAAATTAGACATCATCTTAGAGGCTTTATCCCTTTAATTATTCCTGTAGTACCCATCTTTGTGAGCCATTGAACTGGCTTCCTGCTGATGGCTCCTTTATAAACCAACATTTTCAGGATTGTCATCTTTAAGGCCTCTTTCCAACTCTGTTTTTAAAACACTCAAGTCATTCATGTGTTAAAGATGCCTATTAGGTACAGTTTTATCCAGTGGCTAGACTAATAAACCTTAGCTCCACAGATTTATTAGCTGAGATTTCTCTTTAGCAAATGCCTTTCAATTCAGAAAGCATCCCAGCAGCTCAAGTGATAACTAAAGCGTGAGGGCAGCCAGGCAGCAACCCCAACCACGCTCGAGAACTCAGTCAGGAGAGCAACGTGACAGACAGCATTACTGTCACAAGTTCAAGCACTCCGAGCCAAATGCTGTTATATTCCTCACACTTGAAACATGCACAATTCGGAGAGATAATTGAACAAATCTTCCTTCAACGGTTTTCATTCAAGCTGAGAAAAAGCAGAAAGCACGACGGTTACAAAGTTGGTGGATGGCTGATTTTAAAGCAAAACAAAAAACCCCAAAAGTACTACTACGTCAGACTAGACTGCCTCTAATTCAGGGCTTACAAATCTTGGCAACGGGAGGTGAGAACACATTAGAGCATTTGACTCAGAAGCCTGGATCAAGTTTACAAGCTGCAGGTTGGACATCCCAACATGCTCAGAACTGGTTACATCAGCAAGAGATACAAAGAATTACTCAACAATTTCATAAAGTGCATTTCTTAATTACAGCTTATCAGTCAGTCAATTAGATTTTGGCTTGTCAAGAAGCAGTAAAGTCTGCGCAACTGCAAGAATTTGCTACTCCTGAAATATGTTATACCGACAGGCTCGGAGAACAGATTGTTCTGATCGCTCGTTCGACAGTTACACAGCAGAAGCGACGCTGGCTCTGGGAACACTTGCTGTCATCGTGACTGTTACGAAGGAGACAGCCCACCACCCGGAGACAGGACAATGTGGTTTCTGCCATCCTTTCAGCATGAAGCCTCTTGGCAGACAAAGCAAGTAAGGGTGCCAGCGGTGGCTTTACAAGTCTCATCTTGCTCTTACAGCTGTGAGCATGCTCATGCCACATACGCTCCCAAACGAGCGGATTAATAGCTATTTCTAGGATGGAGATTACTCATTCCATCACCCAGAACCAGTTTCACGGCATACACTTAATCAGTTGTAAAATAAAAGGAGCGAACATCTTATGAACTGTCTTAAGTCTAGAGCACAAGTAGTTTTTTCATTAAATGAACAGATTCACACGCTTCCTTCAGGTACAACCATTACTCAAATGCAGCTTACCATCCCATTCTTCTTATGATAATAGCTGAGGACTGGGAAGCGACTGCCATGGCGAAACATGGCAACTTTCCGAAGCGCTTCATCATCGATGGATTTGGGGACGACGACAACCGGAGGGTAGGAGGGACAGACAGAGAATTCCTTATTGATGCAGCTTAGACGCCATTCATCTGTCTGAAAAAAATCAGAACATATAGGCTTTGGGTCAGAAAACAGATTGCTACTGTTACAGCATTACATACTAGGGAAGAGGAACTTCCATGTCCAGGATAAAGCACCCACAGAGTAATATTGGTGATCTATTCCATTTGCACCACAGATGGAAGCTCAGTTGTCACATAATCACTTTCGTTCATCCAGGAATCTGGACCCCCTGTAATAGCATAACTACACTAATCGGTCAGATCAAATCCAGCACCGTATCTTGTCTCCAACAAAAACATGGCAAGAGAAATGCTATTCAAGAACAAACAAGCCTGGCCACTCTCTGCAGTGCACTCCTCATCCCCTACCTCTCAGGTGGTGTATTACAGATATTAGAAGGTATATCCCTGCCTAGTCCTTTTGGTATCCATTTATAGGTCTGTTGACCGATTATTTTTTCCCCCCACACCTCTTGATGCTGCCTGCAATCATAGTATCTTCTTGCCAGCAGCTCCCAGAAGCTCATTACCCAGCGTGCAGATAAAGCTGGTAAGCAATGGAAGAAGTTATCAGGTGACTCTGGTTCTTGAGGTGCAGGACTTGTTGAACAACGGTTCCCCGTCTGGTTTATCCATACCCTCAACAAACAGCAGGAAATAAACCCACGTGGTCAGAAACGGGTGACTGTGGCTTGTAAGTATTTCACAGACACAACAGACAGCACATCTGCAGTGCACACTACAGCATGACCTACTGCATTTGCAGGTAGCTTCAGTCTCAAAGGAAATAAGAGCATGGTATGTCTCTCTCTCGGGGAGACCCCAGAACAGAAACGTATTCCTACGTCAACAGTTTTAGAGGAAAAAAGGTTGATTTAGATGCAGGTAACACAGGCTCAAACCTCTATCTGTGCCGAGAGCAGAGTTAGTAACGCCGTCCACAAGACAAAGATGGCCAAGAAAGGCAAGAATGTCCATCAGCTCCAGACAATGAAGCTGCTTTGAGGTTAAAATTGCAATTTAACATTTCCAGCTTGGTTCTTTTCTGTGGGCTCTGCTTTACGTAAAGCACTACAGCTCTTCCTCCAAAAGCACCTCCTGGAACCAGGACAGCATCTAAACACAAGGTCTCATCGTGAACTCCCGTTATATAATTTTTCAGCTTCCAACAGCCAAGCACTTGTGAAAGACGTGCTGAACATTGGCACCCTGCACCCTCGCAGGCACCTGGCATGAGAAGTCAGGCCACCTGATACCCAGGGTCAGACACAGGACCTGGCTCCACCTCAGGCAAAAGCAAAAGGTCAACGAGCAGCCTCGCTGACGAGAAGCCCTCACTTACTGAAGCCCAGGCTGGAAGAGCTGACACCGCCCTAACTGCGGCCTCGGACCAGCCCAGCCTTCAGGGAGGGCTTGCTGCTTCTGGGCTGGTACCACACCACCGCCTGCTGCATTAAGGACACCATCTGGGTACATCCAGTGGCCATGAGGCGTATATTTTCCCCAGGGGCACGTAGCACACAGCAGAACCCTGCCTAAAGTTTGGCAGGGAACTGAACTCACGGTCCTCGATAGCAGGATGGTGGCTTGGCTGGGCTGCATCTTCAGTCATTGCACCCTTATCCTGTATTCCTTACGGCCAACAAAACCTGCTGGCAGAAGCCTTGGTGGGGAAAATGACCCAGAAGCCTCTACAACATGTTTTGATTTTAACAGCAGCACTAAATTCCTAAAAGTAGCAGCAGAATAGCAGTCAAATTTGCCTGTAAAAGCTCCAGACACAAAGAAATTAAAATGTAATATAAAAACCTTTTGAAGAGGAACAGGCAGCTGCTATCAAGGGTTGTTTTTTTTAAATTTTTTTTTTTTGCATTAAAATGTAATATAAAAACCTTTTGAAGGGGAACAGGCAGCTGCTATCAAGGGTTTTTTTTAATTTTTATTTTTGTTTTAGTTCCTATGCACTGACTGACATAGATGTAAGAAAGCAAACAAGACCTTAAGTAACTCCTCAGCTGGTGTTTTCAGTACAGACTGGGAAGCATTTGTGTGCCACCGCAGCAGGTAGAGACCTCGTACAGATGCCACAAAAACTCTCCGCTCATTTGTGCTCAAAGAAAGCTTCAGCTAGACAAAAAGGTAGGGGGATAAAGCAGGTATCACAGGAAGTAAGAGAAGAGCATGACAGTTAAATTATGCAGTAACAGAATACACAAAAAAACCCCACGTCAATTCAGGAAGGTTGGTTTACCATGCATTAATTACACAGCTCTGATCAGAAGTAGGTCTCTTTTCCTCTTTCCTTTCTTCCAGAGGCTTACTACCTCTTGCCTTACACCTCCTGACTGGTACCTGGACATATAAATGGCTCACTGGTCCGACGGAAACTAGGATCGATTTAGAAAGGTTTTCTGGCAATCAAGTCTTTCCATCAGATGACCAAGCTGAACTGAGTCACAGCACTACTTCACCACCAGTAGATCCAAGGCACGGGATGTGTGGCGTAGGAGACAGCAAAATTGTCCCTTTTGGTGGCAGCCTAAGAAAAAGATGCTGGGAAAAAGGTACAACGTTGTGTGTATCGCCATCGTCAAGACCAGCAATTGCTACCTGTGTTCAGTAGCCTACCCGGACAGTCTTGCACCAGCCCTATCGTAAGCTTATTTCATTATTCATTAGCCTCAAAACAGCTTCTCTGAACATCTACATTTTATAAGGAGCAGAGGTTCTCCCAGACGCAAAGTTAAATTGCCTCCGGCAATCATGTCATAGGCGGAGATGAAAAGTTCTGGATCACATAAGGGAGGCCAGCTGGTCACAGCTTATGCTTTCAATGCAACAACAACGATATTTTTTTATAGCTTTTTGGAGTCTTTATGTTAAATTACAGCATATTTCATATGATGGTGTGCAATTTGTTTACAATGAAAAAAATATGCATGGATGTAGAATAGAACTGATAGATACCGTACTGCCACATAGGATGTGGAGAGGGCAAAATCAGAACTCCACGGTATGCTTTTTTGAGAGACTGGCTGTCACTGATATCACCAGTATGAAAAGGAATGGAAGAGTATCAACCTGATTTATCTCCCACTTTGGTAATTTAACTCTGCCCATAACCTCCTCTCCTCTCTATTTATAACACGAGACAGAGGATACTGTTATGTCATCCAGTTTAATTTACTGTTACATGGGAAGGAGGAGGAGCGTGGCAGCAGGTAGCACCATTTGTCTTCTGCAGCACAGCTACTTCTGCAGAGATCCAGTTAACCGCTGCGGTGCCAGCTTCAGACTGCTAAAATATACTCCGGCATGAATCAGATGACAGTAAAACCCAACAGTGCAAGTCTCTTCCCGGCTTTTGCTTGGGGTATGTCTGCAGTTTGGAAGAAAAAAATTGCCATTACTAACTGGAAGAGCGAGGTAACAGCAGTTCAACTACGTGCAGCAGTAGATGCAGATACGGGAAGCAGTAAGGACTGCAGCGAAAGAGAAGAGGTGGACCTCGTCTTCAGACATCACCAGAAAAGTATGCTGCATGAAACTCAGAGAAAGTACAAAGTTCACATTTTACTTCTCCCAGCAAGAGATCTGTACTTTAAGGAATCAGAAAGAGTTAATTCCAGTTAAGGTTAGAAGCAGCAAAGGATTGGGGGCTGAGCAGAAAGGAGAGAGGACTCCAAAGAAAAAAAAAAGTAGTCAGAAATATTTTCTTAAACACAGTGCAGGATTAATTCTTACATTTCTACTTTTCTTGTCCTAGTACTTGTTTAGAGATACTGATTTTTCAAATGTTACTGAAAGGCTAAAACAACAGTTACCCTTCCTCCTAAAACTTATAATTGCTAGGAGAGGTCGTTTTCCACAAAAGAGTGTGAAACAATTCAAGCTCTACTAATAAGCCTCAAAATAAGCCTCAAAAGAAAAGTCAGGAAACCAGCATGGACCTTGAAGGATCCTGCAAAGCAGCAATGACAGAGGCCGTTCCCATGGAAGAGGCAGAAGACAACAAGCCCTGTTAGCAACAGATTGTGCGTGGACAAGAAGCGTAACAACAGATGCAGGCAAAGATTGATGCTTCTCTGATAAGAGCAAAATATGGGCTATCCACACCGTTGCAAACTGAACCCAAAACCAGAAAATTCAGCTTTTTTTTTTTTTTTAAGAAGCTCCAGTACAGAAGATAAAGCACCTGTCCAGAATCCTGAGCTCTTTCCTACAACAAAATGGAAGGAAAAAAAAGAGAATGAAGAGGGGTGTTGGACTAGATGACCTTTAAAGGTCCCTTCCAACCCAAACTATTCTATAAGAAAGTGGATTTTGTGGCAATGAAATACTTTCATATTAATTATACTGTTAGTGTACAAACTTCTCAGGGTCTTTTCGCTTAACTTTAAGAAGAGACTGAATTTCCAGAGTTAGTTTGTAGTATCCTGCTGTTGTAGAATTTGGCAGAAGAGAAACCTCTCTACTCTGATCTATTAGCTCTTCTCTGACTCTTCAGAGAAAAATATGAAACCCCTTGCATATACTCTTAATTCCATTCAGCCGCTTGCTACTTATGCAGTAGTACAGTGAAGAACACAAGTTTTCTTACACACATTTCACCTGACATACCTATAACCAATCCAGATCTCAGGTACTACCCAGAGCTTCAAGCAAAAACACAACATACACAACCAAAAGCTGGATGAGCAAACATTAACTATCCTGTGCATCTTTTACTCCATTCATATATTTGCCTATAGTATCTTTCCAAGTCTCACCTCGCAGTACAGCGATTTGGAGCCTGCAGGCACTGTGGAGCTTTTACTGTGACTTTTAGTGAAACGTTGAGCTGATTCCTTCATATAGAATCATAGAATCATTGAGGTTGGAAAAGACCTCTAAGATCATCGAGACCAACCATCGACCCAACACCACCATGCCCACTAAACCATGTCCCTAAGCGCCTCATCTACTCGTCTTTTAAATACCTCCAGGGATGGGGACTCAACCCCTTCCCTGGGCAGCCTGGTCCAATGTTTAACCACTCTTTCAGTAAAGACATTTTTCCTCACATCCAATCTAAACCTCCCCTGCCGCAACTTGAGGCCGTTTCCTCTCGCCCTATCGCTTGTTCCTTGGGAGAAGAGACCAACCCCCACCACGCTACAACCACCTTTCAGGTGGTTGTAGAGAGCGATGAGGTCTCCCCTCAGCCTCCTTTTCTCCAGGCTAAACAACCCCAGTTCCCTCAGCCGCTCCTCATCAGACTTGTTCTCCAGACCCCTCACCAGCCTCGTTGCCCTTCTCTGGACACGCTCCAGCACCTCGACGTCCTTCTTGTAGTGAGGGGCCCAAAACTGAACACAGTATTCGAGGTGCGGCCTCACCAGGGCCGAGTACAGGGGCACGATCACTTCCCTCCTCCTGCTGGCCACACTATTTCTGATACAAGCCAGGATGCCATTGGCCTTCTTGGCCGCCTGGGCACACTGCCGGCTCACGTTCAGCCGGCTGGCGACCAACACCCCCAGGTCCTTTTCTGCTGGGCAGCTTTCCCGCCACTCTTCCCCAAGCCTGTAGCGCTGCGTGGGGTTGTTGTGGCCCAAGTGCAGGACCCAATATGACTTAATTCTCAGCTGAACTACTCCCGTCAATATGCTGGGTTTATCAGAACAGCAGGTCGCGGAAAGACACTTGACAAAAGCCCTGCTGACCTGTAGGTTATTCCCAAGAAAATAAACAGGTAGCGCACACGCCAACAGCCGTCAGCACGTGACAGCCCACTGAAACGTAATTCCTCCAATTTCTTTAGATGAAATGAAGTCATTTGCCTTAACAGTTCTTCCCTTAACACCTCCATGGACTAAATGCAAGAATGCTGTGATCGTATAGCAGCCTCCCTAATCCCGGAGCTGAGCTGCAGGGGTAGAGGGCTCGGGTGTTTGCTATCAAGTTCTAGGGGCAATGCTAGATGACACTTTGTCAGATCAATGCAATGGAGTGAAATCACACAGGGGGTATGCGCGTTGGGAGAAAAACACATTTGGCACAACATATGCCAAGATAAGCAGATAAATTATTATACAGTATAATACCATATCATCAAACTTTTTTTGATCTTAACTTTTATAGCTTTACTTTGCCATTATAGAATGGGTCAGAGTTAAAACAACTCTCCTGTAGCAGACAAACGTGGAATCAAAACATTACTAGAGCTGCAGTGGGGGTGAAATGCAGTTTTTGACAAGTTGTTACCATATTGGGGAAGGAAAACATTACTAGAGCTGCAGTGGGTGTGAAATGCAGTTTCTGACAAGTTGTTACCATATTGGGGAACGTAAGGCATGACAGATCCAGATGGATGACTTAACGGAGAGGGAGGTAACCTTCTGAATTCCACTCATTTGACTTATTGGAGAAAAAAAGAAAACCAGCCATTTACTTGTTCTAGCCTGTCACATAAGAAAGTTTAACTATGGAACAAGAAATACTTGGTGACCAATATATTTATCTATTGTTCGGGAAGTGTGAGTCATTTGAACATGGCTCTTGCCACCATTTCATTAAAAAGGAGTTACATCTGAAGTTTTGGGTTAAAAGCCAAGAATTAACCAACAGCTGTTAGGCATGCATATTTTAAAGAAATGAATTATTGCCCTTGAAACGTAGCACTATAAAATAATTAGGTTTTTAAACGTAAGCCTTCCAAGAAGCGTATGTTCAGAAAGCCAAGAGATCCACAAATAAGCTATCAGTGCACTTTCAAACCTCTGAAAGAAAAAAAGCAGCTTATCAATGGATTCATGTTAGCACCTGCATCTGCGTGCTGGTAAACACAACCATCGGAAGCGATTCGATCCCTGAAATCTAAAAAAGATTTCAGCTACACATAGAAAGCAAAACGTGAACAGAAGCAGAACCATCTCCTGCAATCTTTCCTTGAGCTCCGAGGGATTTCCTTCTGCTGCCTTCAATCCTGCTCTCACACATCCTCCCTTCTCGCCAGACAGCACTTCAGCTTCTTGCCTTTTGATTCTCATCGAAATGCCTGCAAGCTTCCTCTGCTGAGCTGGGAAAGCATCTGCTGCTTTGCCTCCAAACAGGAGAACACTCTGATCACGTGTTTGACCTGCCCAGCTGAAATTAAAATCAAAACTGTGGTGCTAGTTATTACAACAGGTCAGTTTGGATGTCTTTTGACAGCAGATGAAGACAGGACATGAGAGTACTCCAATTATGAGACAAAAATAGAAAGATCCCTGAACTCCTTTAATTTTCTAGTGATTTCGTCGCATGAATCTGGTCAAGCTAATCACATTAATTCAATTTAGTCATAAACAGGGAGTGATAAATGCTGCAGACAAGCTGGGTTGCAGATAAAAGAAAACAACATCAATGTTCTTTGATGCTGTACTAATGGATGTGGTCTCAGAAACCTAAGATGATGCAGCAAGTGCACATATTTAATGGGAAACAAAGACTTGGAACACAGAGATGCTAACCCAAGGCACAATTAAAACAGGCAGCCTCCTGCAACCGAGCCAGTTCCCGCTGTATCAAATTCAGCACCCTAACATGAAGTTTGAACAACGGATACAACAGGCAATGCCACAAGAACATCCTACCTATCCTACAGGTACTGAAGTAATAGGTACATTTACTCACAGCACCTGGGAGAATACAACTGGAAGCGCCCTGCTGTCTAAACGCTCCCAGTATTTCCCCAGCATGAACTAGAGCTAAGAGTATTTCAAACTGGGCATCTGTAACTACTGTCATCTTCCCAGAGAGCCATCAAATCCTTAGCAATATTTTTAAAAAAAAAACAAACAAAAAACAGCCTCGTTTCAATTAAGGGGTTGACAAAGATTCACCCCACTCCACTTCAGATGCAAAGTTAAGTGGAACAAACCCAGGCCAAAGGTCTTGCATTTGTCCTTACAATAAGGAGGGCCATCCCTAAAGGACAAAAACATTTCCTACCTTCATGTCCTCCCAGGTAACTTTGAAATAGGCCTCAGAACTCCGTTTGTAGAAGGTGAAACACAAGCGCTAAATAGGAACATTTAGCACATAAACAGAAACGCCTGATGTTTAGAGAGTGACTATTTGAACAACACTCACTTTCCACCCAGGCACCGGACAGCTATTTTTACCAACCAGGATTTCCAGTCCAGACGCTACTGGGTGAAATACTTCACAAACTACTTGCTCACGTATTTCCCAGTGCCCGCGCAAATCCTTAAGGTCCAACTTACCACTGAGCTGAGGAGCTCAAATTCTTGGTCAGGCAGAAAAGAGCGCCAGCCATCTTCAATGATTTCAAACATGGGCCGGTAGAAGAAGGGATACATGAGAGTGACAGAATCCAAGGTGGAAAGCGCCTGTGTGGGCGAGAGAAATAAACAGCTACTTAATTCATTCAAACTGCTATTTTATTGGAAAAAAAACACAACAACATATGGCAAATAGCATTTTCCTCTAATATTGCACCAGGGGAGGTTTAGGTTGGACATGAGGGAAAATGTCTTTACTGAAAGAGTGGTTAAACATTGGACCAGGCTGCCCAGGGAAGGGGTTGAGTCCCCATCCCTGGAGGTATTTAAAAGACGTGTAGATG